ATAAATCTTCAAAAAGGCAAAAAGTAATTTCTAAAATCTTAAAAAATAGGCATGTCCATGATGTGGGCTCTGTATGGGGTCAGGAAGTGCTAAAGTTCTATTCATCCAAGAAGAAAATGGTGGAATGCTCCCAAGTGTCAGCGTGCTAGCCACATGGCAAGGCATGTAGTAAAGATTCTAGCCAGACTACCAAGGCTCTTCTGGCTCTGCCACTTACTTCTTATAGGACCCAAAACAAGTCATTTAATTTCCCTGCATTTCCATTTCCTCATTTGTGAAATGAGTATAATAGTATCTTAAAGGGTTATCATGAGGAGCTTAGAATATTTCCTAGGACATAATAAACTCTTAATAAATATTACCTACCACTGCTACGGAGCTTTGGTGGTGCAGTGGTTAAGCATTTGACTGCCAACCAAAAGGTCAGCAATTCAAATCCACCAGGCGCTCCTTGGAAACCCTATGGGGCAGTTCTACTCTGTCCTGTAGGGTCGCTATGAGTCAGAGTCGACTCAACGGCATCGAGTTTGGTTTTTTTTAACCACTACTACAGCCACAGTATTAGTATCATCTGCTTACTAGCATTTGTTGCCTACTAGAGCTCTTGGCTGCTAACTGAAACATTGGAAGTTCAAGTCCACCCCAGCGTGCCTCAAAAGAAAGGCCTGGCATCTGCTTCCGAAAAATCAGCCATTGAAAACCCTGTGGAGCACAGTTCTGCTCTGACACACAAGATGTCGCCATGAGTTGGAGTTGATGCAACAGCAACTGGTTTGGTTAGAGGATTTCAGCAGGAGACCTTAAGACATTTTATATCCCTTGGGGGCTACCATAACATCTACCACAGTGCCTATCATGCAGTAGGCTTTTAATAAATGTTAGCCTATTAAATGCAGCATAGCTCACTGGTCTTTTGGAAGTATTCCAATATAAATATTTACTTAGATGCAGTTCCCTACTGAGATTCTCAGTTTCATCTTCCAGTCCTACAGTGAACATTCTTTTTTAATCTCAAGGTGACTTGTGTCTTAATATGTCTCCCTAAAAAAAAAAATCACCTAACATATGGGTAACTCTTCCATTATACTTCCAAAACAAAACAAAAACTCATTGCCATCTAGTCGAGTCCGATTAGATAGAACTGTCCCATAGGATTTCCAAGGCTTTCAATCTTTATGACGCAGACTGCCACATATTTCTCCTATGAAGTGGCTGATAGGTTCAAACCACTGACCTTTTGGTTAGTAGCTGAGTGCTAAACCACTGTGCCACCAGGGCTCCTTCCATTATACTTAGTCAGCTGTAAAATCGTTACGCTTGAAGATTTGTTGTTGTCTGACTAGTTAGATAGGATTGTTTTAAAAGTAGTTATTTTAGAAAAAGGATTGGTTTTATGGTGAAAGCAGTGATTTTAATCCATAGTTTGGAAGCCAAAACATATGTTGTATGACATCCTTAAATGTATTTGCGTATTTAATTTGTGCATTTATTTATTCAGACCCTCACCAAATACTGAGTGCCTAGCAGGTGCCAGGCAGCATGCAAGGAACCTAGTAATGCAGTGGTGCCTGACATTGTGGTCTTCACAACCTTGTTCGTATTTAAAACATCTGTGTCTCTGGATTGTAAAGAGAACTATTCGCCCAAGGTATTAGATCTTGGGATGTATTAAGACTATAGCAGGTATGATTAAGGAGTCCTGGTGGTGCAGTGGTGAAGCACTCAGCTGCTAGCAGAAAGGTTGACAGTTTGAACCCACCAGCCATTTTGCAGGAGAGAGATGTGGCAGCCTGCTTCTGTCAAGATTTTAAAAAAAAAGCAAAAAAAAAAATAAAAACCAAACCTGTTATCATCGAGTCTATTCCAACTCATAGTGACCCTGTAGGACAGAGTAGAGCTGTTCCATTGTGTTTCCACGTCTGTAATCTTTACGGAAGCAGACTGCCATATGAGGACACAGTAGTTTAAGGGGGTGGAATAATTTGTTCAAAGTCACATTTCTAGGAAGTGGTAGAACCAGGATTTAAAATCTTTTAAAATTAACTAACTATTGAAAAACTCTCATTACTAGACCAAAAACAACAAAAAACAAACCTGTTGCCATTGAGTCGATGCTGACTCATAGCAACCCCATAGGACAAAGTAGAACAGCCCCATAGGGCTTCCTAGGCTATAATCTTAACGGAAGGGGCTCTGGTAGTGCAGTAGTTAAGCTCTTGGCCGCTAACTGCTAACTGTGGTGTGAAGAATATTTTGTATGGTTAATTCATGAGTGAGTGAGGTCATGCTTGTCATGTGCTTAACACTGTACTCAGCACCTAGGAAGCACTCAATAAAATGTTTGCTGCTGTTTTCTTTTTTTAATACAGGAGCTCAACCTCATCTTGGAGGTGAATTTGAGGAGACATCTAAGAATAGCTTTATATGTAGGTTTCTAGTATTTGGAGAGAACTTTTGCCAAAGCGTTGGAATTTGTTTGCTTGTTTGTTTGTTAGAATGTATACCCTGCCAGTTTCCAGAAAGGATTTGAAATAGATGTCTCACTTACAAGTGTGTTCCAGTTGTGAGGTAGTGGAATAAACACTGAACTAGAACTAGGACGACCTAAGCACCAGCTGTAGCTCTTCTAACCAGCTGCATGATCCTGGGTGATCCCCTAGTCTAGGTTTTCCCTATCAGATTCTTTGCCTTGTTTATTAATAAGGAAATGGTCAATTTTAAATATTGGTCTTTAGGTTTCTCAGGATTGGTATGTAATCTCTAAAGTCTCAGAAAGTTTGAAAATTATATTGTAAAAGCGAAGATATATAACCTGATAGGAATTTAATCTTGCTCCTGAATAAAATAATCATCACTCTCCCCAAAGAAGTAATCTTTAACGTGAGTGACTTAACATATAGTCCATTCATAATCTTTCCTTTGCTGAAGCCTGCAAGCAGCCTTCAAGCTAAGGATTGACCCCCTCATATCATGGTTCTTGTTTTGGTGGCAGTGATCTTACAAAAGGTACTGACGTCATAAGTTCTAAGACCTTCATTTTCTCACATGGCTGTTACTTTTGGAGCACATTTACAAGCTACTATGTATGTCTGTTTTACCTGATAAAAAGCATAATATCAGGCTTTATGAGAAGCTTTTTATTGTTGTCACTGGTTTTGGCAGTGAGGGTGCTTTTTAACTGGGTGGATTATTAGGGCCACTTTGGTTATTAGATGTAGATAAATAAGGCTAAAAAGAACATCCTTTTAGGAGATGAGAAAGCTTAAACCCCTGAAAATGTGCACTTTTGGATGCGTCTATCTGTATAAATTATTACTTAATGATTTTATGAAAAAGATTATGAAATTTTAATCAACTTTACTGTGTAATATAAATGCCTGAAAAATTAGATACTGTATCTCACTTAGTTACAGGTCTTAGTTCTAATTTGATAATTTGGTGTTGATAAATGTTGTGTTTTCCAGTGTTGGAATTAGCCTTTGATGTATTTTTAAAAGGATTACGGGCTATAGATGTGTTTTAAGATTAGTTGTCATGTGGTGTCAAAACATAAAGAGATTCACTCAGTTACATCTTTTACTAAAGGAGCTTTTCCCCACTGATTTTTCCTCATATGTTAATGAAACACCTGAATAGATACCTGAAAATTGTGCTGGTGCTTATTAGATTTTTAAAATCGAATACCATTGGGTTTATATCGCCTTTTAATTGAAAGATACGAAATGATGTGGTTTTTCAACATTATTTTTGTGGCAGAGATGTAACGGATCACCTTTATTTTGCAGTTACTTCGAGAGCTTAAGCATCCAAACGTCATCTCTCTTCAAAAGGTGTTTCTGTCTCATGCTGATAGGAAAGTGTGGCTTCTGTTTGACTACGCTGAGCATGACCTCTGGGTAAGGTGAATTGCTAGTAGAACTACTTTCAGTCAGAAATTGTTGAGAGTGACTAAAAACAGTTGGGAGCTCATCTTACTATGAGACGTCCATTTTAAAACAGAAGTAACCATGTATAATGTGGTTGATGCATTACCAAGGCTAGAGTATTTTGCTTTGTTTTATTACATTTTGATCCTATCAGTTTGGCCTTTGTAACAGATACTAAAGAAACAGTAGAATCTAAAAAGCATAAAAAATGATTTGATATTGTTTCACCACTATAAATTTTGATAAAATAAAACATTAACTATAATAATTTAAAGTTATAGAATTTTAAATTGCTAATTTCCTGTTCCCTTGTAGAGTAAAAGAATATAAAATGAGAAGGTGGTATCATCATATAGAGGAAGAATATGTTGTATTTGAAAGACTAGATTGAGATCTAATTACGGTTCTACCTGCTATTTGTCATATGACATTAGGCTAATCTCTTAATGGCTCTAAAGCTGTGGTTTCCCCCATCTGTAAAATGTGATATTTTTCCTTCCTTTTTTATAGGGTTGTTCTGAGCAGCAATTTTGTATTTTAAAAGCCTTCTGAATTAAATGTACTATTAGATGTAGGAAATTATTTTTAATTATTTATTGGATATCATTCACAATTGATACTCACTATTTGAATGTATTTTTATTTTCATCAGCAATAACTCAATATTATACTTACTTGAATTGGGCATACTCTTCCATGGGAAGAATTCTTTGTGGTAGAGAACTGTACTACAATATAAGAGAGGAATGAAAATAGAGTCCAATGTCTGTTGTGACTTTTATTATATATGTCTGGACTATTAGAATATTTTTAGATATCCAGAAGCAACTAAATATTTGAAGATTTCTGAAAATTGATTACCAATTTATTAGTTTAGCTATTATAATGGAAATAATGATTCTATCGTGATACAAATTATTATAAAGTAAGAGTTTAAATTTATCTTATTTAAATAGCTAAGGAGTAGCCCTGGTGGCACAGTGGTTGAGCACTTGGCTGCTAACTGAAAGGTTAGCTGTTCAAACCCACCAGCCGCTCCGAGGCAGAAAGATATGGCAGTCTGCTTCCATAAAGATTTACAGCCTTGGAAACCCTATGGGATGGTTCTACTCTGTCCTGCAGGGTCACTATGAGTCAGAATTGACTCTGTGGCAGTGGGTTTTTTTTTAAATAGCTGAAATACAAACATCTGCCTTCAATCTTTTGCAGTTTACAAAGCAGATCATTTTTTAAATTGGTATTTATAAAAGTCTTGGGTAACTATAAAATTCTTTATTAAATGTAACAGTTATAGTTTTGAAAATCTGAAATACCATTTTGGGAATAAGACTTCCTGATATACATACGATGAATGTCTATAACAGGATAGTAAAAGAATTTTGAAACATATTCACAAAACTTATATCCTAATAATCCTTGAGTGAAGAACATCTGTTAACATAAATTAGTTTAAAAAACGAAGCAAACAAAAAAACCCAAAATTACTGATATCATTAACGACTACATCCCTACTATGAACTGTGTTTTTTCTGATATTTAATAAAGTCCTTAACTATTTACTATGTTTTGCATATTGGCGTATATGTACTAAATTAGTATGGCAGTGCCTTTATTGAAATAAATGGAAGAGAAAGCATATATACTAATATTCTTTAATTAATCATAATATTCTGGCTCATTTTTTAGAAATCTTCAAAACAAGTTACATTTTTCATTCAGCTGAATTTGTGAATCCATATACAGAATATTGAAATACAATGAGAACAAATTCCAATAAAACTGTTTAAAAACAGATTTACCTAGTTTAAAACTGTTTTGCTGATTTCCAGAATTAGATTAGTTTATATAATTTTAACTTTAACAGGTTTTAGAAATTGAAACTCATCTAGGTTTCATATGCTTTCAGATTCATAAGAAATATTTTCACTCTATTTGTAGGCATTTATTTTGCATGACTAAATGTGATTTCATTCAAACTTTTTGTTAGAACTTATTTACCAAGTAGTTTTGCAGAACAAAAAATATAAACACATGAAATTTTCTCTCTGTTTTATGAAACTATTGTCCATGGTTCATGTTGATTGTAAGTTATATATTTTTCTTTATTTGGTTTTTAACTTGGTGTTCTTTTATTTTAAAAGAAATCTAATCAAATCAAACTGGCATTCTGTTAATTGAAAATCGAGCACTTATACTCAACTCTAAAATGAAATCAAATTATGTAATCCAAACTTAAGGCAAATTTTCCAGACTAGTTAACAAGCAAGATTTTTAATACAACACAATAGAGCATAGGAGATAGAATTGCATTCAGTATGATTTGTAGGAGGCTCGTGTCATAGTATTTAATTTTACACCTACGTAGATACATTGATTATACTTTAGCAAATACGTTTCATGTATTCCAGGTGTGTGTAGTTTTATCATTAGCTTTATCATCATCTTATTAATACTCATTTAAGCCAAATAAGTGTTTTTAAAGTTCATTTTAATAAAAACCGAAAGATAATTCAGTTTACTAAAACCTACCGCTTTATCCATTTTATTTTCTTATTTTATGGGAGTGTTGAAGTAGAATTGGCAGGGTTAAGGCAACAGTGGGTAACAAAACACTTAGTGTTTTGCATACCACATTTGCTATATAGCCCTGGAATGTAAAGAAAATGCAGGTAAGAAATTATCCCACTGTAGTTTTTTGGAGTTATGATGTATTGGTAAAAAAGTAACTTGTAATATTCTAATGAAAACGTTAACTGAAGAAATGTAAATGGAATTGATTGATTATTTTATCTCTCCTGTATATTTGTTCCTTTCATTCTTAAACCTGGAAGGCTTTTAATTTAAAAAATCAAAAAAAAAAAAGCACTCTATTTTTAAACTGTTTGTATTAAGCTTCGAGAGCCAGTGAATCTTCTTCCCAAGGAGAACAGACTTGATTATCACATCACATCTTAGGGCCAGTGACAAAACATTTTACATTATTAAAGAGTTGTTATAGCTGTATTTTGTTTGCCTGCCATTTAAATACGTTGAAGAAAAGATTGAGAGGAAAGTTAGAAATAGCCTACTGCTGCTAGTAAAATATAGATTAATCATGCAGAATATGCACCAACTGAGACAGTTTACCTTCCCACCAGGTATTTTTGGCTCTGTGTTTTTTTGTTTGGAAAGTTAAACTCTTTTACTCATTTATCATTAGTCACTCCATACCCATGTTCCTTGTACATTCTATATCATAAGAAACTAGGGAGTGAAAATGTTAATCTATAATATTAAGTATCATACTCCTATTTTAGGTGGTGTAGTGGTTAATAACAACGGCTGCTAAACAAAAGGTCAGCAGTTCGAATCTACCAGGCGCTCCTTGGAATGGGGCAATTCTACTCTGTCCTATAGGGTTGCTATGAGTCGGAATCTACTTGACAGCAATGGGTTTTTTGGTTTTTTTATTTTAATTATTTACTAATTTCCAGAATACACTTAATATTCACTTACACATATTGGTTATGAGTCTGCTCTGTACGATTCTAGGTGCAGGATGTATGTACAGTGGTGCACAAGACAGAGTTGACTCTAGCTGACTTAGGGATTTTCTGCAATTTAAGAATGCTTTAATGAAAACAAAGAGGGCTGTCAAGAGAATTTGAAAACTTTGGATCTTGTTTCAGTTGAGGTACATTTACTTATAAAGTGATTTTTATATTTATCAATTGGTGTTTTGTTTTACTGGATGTCTAATAACACTATACCAACAAAACTTTAATGTTAGGTGGTACAGGGCTAGTTTTTGTTTGTTTTTTAATCTAAATCTTTCATATTTCTCGTGTAACTAGTCATTTGCACCTTAGCATTTCTTCATCTGTGTGTGTATTTTATTAAAATATCTCCCTACTTGCTTTCTTTGTAACTCATGTCATTAAGAGGTACCATATCTATGCAATCCCAGCCAGCCAGCAGCATCTCTTGAAGTTTGTTCTGTTTTTTTTTTTTCCTTTTCATCATTACACAGTAAAAAAGATTCTGTTCTTGAAAATTTCTACCAAATAACAGGAGTAAAGTATACTCTGAAAGACAGTAAGTTTTAATTATGCTTTAAAAATAAAATCACAATGTTGCCTACTTCTCTGTTATAATCATGTATTTTCTGAGCCTCTATGATAGGCTTAGAAAATTAAATTTTAGCCCCAGTTATTGGAAAATTTTAAAGTTATTTATGTTATTCAGCAGAATGTGGAGTTATATTTTCAGTATCTTTGAGAATCCCTGAATGTTTCTTTTTCTGTTAGGAAAATATTATACACAAATTATCTTTTCCTCTCTCCTTTTTGAAGCTTCTGTTGATATTTTTCTTTCTTTCAGCATATAATCAAGTTTCACAGAGCTTCTAAAGCAAACAAGAAGCCAGTTCAGTTACCTCGGGGAATGGTGAAGTCACTATTGTATCAGATCCTAGATGGGATTCACTACCTGCATGCTAACTGGGTGTTGCACAGGGATTTGGTAAGTCGATCTGTAGTCAGGTTTAAACTGGAAAGAAGCATATACAGGTGGACCCTTTTCTACTTGTCTATAGATAACAGTGTGTTATGATATGCTGAGGCTACAAGCCTGCAAACATTATAGAGGGAGTGGGGTGCTACAGTCTCAAAGCCTAGCCTAGTCTTGTGCTTTGTGTATAATGCACCCTGCTTCTCCACAGAGGTGAAAAAGCATATTTGTTTTCCTAAGCTTTTGATTGCTTTTGAGTCCATAAATAAAGCATTGATTTGTTTTACATTGATTATAGATGGCAGATATCCTCTAGAAATGGATATATTCATGAATAACTTGAAAATAAACCTTCTGGAGCCTACTGAATACTAAGTTACCTATTAAGAGAGGAAAACATTAATACAATCTGCTTTTTTTTTTTAAAACAACCCCACTAATCGATTGGGGAACCCTGGTGGCGCAGTGGTTAAGTGCTCAGCTATTAGCTGAAAGGTTGTCGGTTCAAATCCGCTAGCTGCACCATGAGAGGAAGATGTGGCGGTCCACTTCTGTAAAGATTACAGCCTTGGAAATCCTCTGGGGCAGTTCTATTCTGTCCTATAGGGTTGCTATGAGTTGGAGTCGACTTGATGGCAGCAGGTAATTGGTTGGAGCCCTGGTGGTGCAGTGGTTAAGCCCTTGTCTGCTAACTGAAAGATTGGCAGTCTGAACCCACCAGCTGGTCCACAGGAGAAAGATGTGGCAGTCTGCTTCTGCAAATATTACAGTCTTGGAAATCTGCGGGGCAGTTCTGCTGTATCCTGTAAGGTCTCTGTGAGTCAGAATCAACTCGATGGCAACAGGTTTGGTTTTTGTTTCTGTTTTTTTTTTTAATATTGGTTTGTAACTTTTTGGCCAGTAGGCTTTTATTAATCATAATTGAAGTATATTATTGAGAAGCCTTGCTATGTTCGGGTATATTAACTTTTTAAGAAGTAAAAATTTCAGAAATTGGCTTTCTTATTTTTATTTTATGTGGCAAAATAGTTTATGCTTTTCTCTCTCTAGGATATTATTGCTCATTAAATCTTCACAAATTTAAATTATTTAAAACTCAAAGTGCCCTTTCTTAGTGCATAATTTCATTGTGCTCTTATTCTTTTCTTTGTAAAGGCAGTAACGGTAGTAAAGGTTTCTAACAGTGCGTTCATTTCAATCAATTATAAACACAATGCTGAAAATGGTAATTTTGTCTCTAAGCACATAGATTTTCACAATACATAGGGGGAAAAAAACATGTAGACTTGAGAGAGACCTGATCTGGCCCCTGGTGCAGACATTCTTTCCAAGCTGCGCAATGTTTAATGCAGTAAATCTCTGGCCTTCATATAAGCCATTCCAGCGTCATGATTTCTCGTTCCTTCATCTAATTTGAATACATTTCCTTGAAATACATTTAATGGTACTTATTTTATGCCCAGTTATCATACCTAGAACGTATTTAGAGATTAGGACCAATAACACAGCAGAAATCTGGTTGAAAGAACTTTTCTCATTATGTACACTTTATTTTTGATAGAATTACAACATTTTACTTCAAACAATGCATTTACAGAACAGAAATAAAGCAGAGGCTTTGGCTGTCTATGAAGCTGAAAATAAATTTTAGTCTCTAGGGATGAAGTCAAGTTAGGGAAAAACTATTACAGTTTTTGAGCCACTGACCATTTTTATGATCTCTGAAAGAATAAAATGCTGTGACTAAAGGACGTTATTTCCCCACTGAGTCAATTATGCCAAGGTAGCTCTAGGTTTTCTTTTCTTTCTGAATTAGTTTTCAGTTTATAAATATTTATGTTTATTAGATAAATACAAACTGATTTTTTAAACAGTATTTAAATTTTTATGTTAGTAATATAGAGTACACTTGAACCACTTATACAGTAAAACCTGCAAAAGCCAGAACCTGTGTAAGGCAGAAACCTGTCAGAAAAGGAAAACTCAAATATTTTCCACTAATAGAGAGCAATAGAAAAATGCTAAGACTGCACCCTATCAAAGGTGGAATGCTTGTGAGACCCAGACAAACAGGGCAGCCCTGTCTAGTTCTGGCTCTCAAAAGTTTCACCGTCGTAGTATTAGCTACAGTAGTGAAAATAATTAAGAGGTCTGATTTCTTTTATCTCTCTTTCAGATAGACTGTTTCTGCTGGTGTACTTTAAATGAATTCTCTTTGACATAGAGATAATGTAGAACAGATAATTTCAGAGGTCTCTGTTAGTAATGTGCCAAGAGGTGGGGGGCAGTGGGAGCAGTCCACCCCACATGCAGGCAACAAGGGGATGCGTTGTCTGTAGACAATTTAAAAATTGTAATAAAACAGACTAAAAATGATTGCTTTTTATCGTTACCATATCCAGGCAATTCTGAACATTATCAGCAATAAAATATTCCTCATCAGTTAGGCAAATCACTCTTATTCCTCCATCCCTCTTGATATGCTACTGCTGTCTGTTTAATAGTCTATTTATCCAAAATATTTTCCATGCTGTAATGCGCAGTTTGTCTCCTGCTGCCTCTTTTGGTTTCCCTATTTGAAATGAGATTTCCCATATGTTCTGTTCATGACTTACTAGTACTCTTTCTAAGTATCTAATCCTAATATGTGCCTCAGGTACACAGAGACCTACTGAACCATTGTTTCATTAAAATGATAGCCTCTGCCCCTAATCTTGGGCTTACTGGTTCAGAATTAGGCTTCTCAAGAGGTCATCCATAACACTTCAGTTCCCAAAGGAAAGGTTTGTTATCATATTTTTTAAAAATGTGCCCACCTTCCTGCCAATTGAAAATTAAATTTTGTGGTTTTGATATTATGTAGTTTTTCAACTATTGCTACATACAATATTAATACATGTAGTAATATCTATTCTCAAAGACATTGTTCAAAAACTGTATGTCTTTTTTTAACCCCTTCTTCCTAAGTATTTGTTAGTATTTGCAGATGAAATTTACTCTATAAGAGCAAATATTAATAGTTAATTATATTCTTTGCTCCTTTTCAGCCAGGTTTAGATAAAATATAGCAATACTTACCTTAACAGAGCTACATAAGTTTCTAATGTTATACATTGGTTGAGTTACTAACTTACCGAAAGAAACTTCATACAAGATGTTCTTATCTCTAAGGTCGATAATTGGCATAAACCACCTAAAAACACCATTTTAGTAATACCTCAGAATGTTATTGAAGCTTTTGGTTAATTAAATTTGCTTTATTCTGTAGGAATACTGGTTTGAGATAGTATGGTTATGAACTCCTTTTTAATAAATATTTATTTTGTCACTGTTAATCATCACATAGTAGCAAACTGAGGTCTGTTATCCTTGGTTGGAAATAAAGAGATTTAATAATTCCGGAAGCCTTATTAAACTGAAGGTGGTAATATATATGTTAGTGTTTTAAGAAACTTAGGCCAGAAAGGAAACACATACAGTATTTATTTTTGTAATGTAATTTATGGATCCAAACCAAACTTTATAGTTTTTAGTTTTAGAACATTAAAATATATGTACATAAGTTGATTTGCTTGTTCACACAAAGGTGTGAGTGTGCTTGAGTATGTGTGTGCATGAAGTTAGTGTCGTTCTTTCCCTTGACTACTCCCTTCCCCTTTCATCTTTTGTTCTCTTCTCTCCTTGGGAAATGAAAACAGTTTGTCAAATGCCAGTGGTTCTGGTGTTAACATTATAGAAAAATGAGTAAACAGAGGCACAACAAGTTGAAGTAATGTGGGACAAATTATTTCAATTTCTAAAAATTTTTTCCTCCAGTTACCTACTTATGTAAAATGGGAATATTGGGTTAAGGAATATTAAGAATTTCCACCCTGTACTATAGAGAAACTGTTTGGGAAATAATAATGAAAACTTCAAAAAAAGATATATTCAAGTGATTCATAATAAGGAAAAGTTTGAAGTCTGTTAGCCTGATTGAGTTGAGTTGGTGGTTTTTCTTAGTCCATTCAAATAAAAAGACATGAAGCACCAAATCATATTTGATAGTTTTTATGTAGAAGCTAAGGATTGAATGGCAGTTGTTTCTGATCTCTCTTCTCTGAAGTCATTCATCCAGGATAGAAGTAAGTCACACTCCAAGAGGATGAGAAGGTTCCACTACCATGCCTGTGTCATGACCGTTTTGAGAATTCCCAGACCAGGTCACTCTCTGCAGCTGTCAGTCTGGCATCTTTCAGTAGAACTGATTTTTTTTTTTAATACAACTTAAAAAATTTAGGAATGGTTTTCTTCTGCAGTTTGTGAAATAAATTTCAAAGTCAGTTTTTCTTTCACTCAGAAAATTCTATGATAAATTAAAATTTTGAAACACACTGCCAAGTATATATGAATCCTATTATTTGTGAAGGAGCCTAGTGACTAAATAAATGGTTACGCACTTGACTGCTAACCAAAATGTCACTGGTTCGAACCCACCAGCCATGGCATGAGAGAAATGACCTGGCGATCTGCTCCCGTAAAGATTACAGCGTAGGAAGCACCAGGGGACAGCTCTACTCTGATACATGGGGTTGCTGTGAGTCAGAATCACTCGATGGCATCTAAGAACAACCGTATTTGTGAACCCAAGTGAAAGGACTGACGCTCCAGTCTGGCTCCAATCCCCTTTACCTCTCTTACTCCTTAAACTTATTTTCCTGCCAACCCAGAGTATTTTTCTTGCCCTGACTGCCTGAATCCCCTCTTCCTTTTATCTCCGTCATTTGAAATCCTATTCATTCTTTAAAGGTCTGTTCACACTACCTTATTTATAAAGCACTTCCTGATCATCCTAGTTGGAAACAACATTTATATCTAAAATCCTGTAGCAGTTACTTTGAACTACCCACAGAGTACTTATTAATGTTGGTCATATGCCCTCATTCCGTTATAAGCTCCTGAAAGCAAAGACTGTGACTTAATGCTTATTTGTATCCCACCAGATGCCTGGAACGATAACTTGTATGTACAAT